GATGCACATTTTCTTTACATAAAACTCTCTCTTATACATGAGTTGCTGTGGATTTGTTTCTCCAAAGTACCCAGACTAATACAGGGACCAAACTCCAGGCACTGTCCTATCCACTGGCAGCTAAAGGTGAAGGCAGTCAAGAGTGGGCTCGTATAGGGAGACGGATCAGACAGATCTATCGAAGCTGTGTTCGACATCAAACACTCCCTGAAGGAGTCTCTCCCTCTAGACTCAAGAAGAGTGTGTGTGTGTGTGTGTGTGAGAAAGTAATTGGAGGAGATGGTGGCATTTGAGATAGACTTTGAAGACCAGATAAGAGACAGCAGTCCTTCCAGAGAGAGGAAGGGTGGTGTGTGGCTGGAAGGGCAGGGCTGTGTTCAGCTTGCTGCCCTGTTGGATGAGTTCTCTGAGGAGGGCTGAAGAGCTTTGGGATCGTATTGAGATGCGTCGTGAATACTACCGAGCAGAGCGACTGGCACCTGAGTGTGCGCTGGCAGTCACTGGGGTTTGAAAACTGGGCACCTTTGAAGCAGTGCTTCCCGAAGAAGGATCTGGTGCTGAGGTCTGGGCAGGATGTGAGTGGGAAGAAGATGCGGAAGTCTCTTATTCAGTTTGAGTCATAAATACTCAGGAACATTAAGAAAGCAACAAGTCTGAACTAGGAGAGCCCAGGAGGGGCGCGGGGGTGGGGTGGGTGGCAAGGAAGGTGTGAATGTCAAAGGGACAAAGAGAGTTCGAGTGAACACTATGTACTGATGGATCGAGGAGTCCTGCATGTGCTAAGCCAAAGGTTCGAGCTCATCTACAGGTGCCTGGGAAGAAAGGTGTGGGGACCTGCTTCTGAAAGATGACAGTTCTGGGACATCCTACAGAGTACAGTTCCACGCTGACACACGAGGGTCATCAGGAGCTGTTTTTTATTGACTGACTGGAGGAAGCAAACAATGGCTTAGATGCTTTTAAATTTAGAATACTAGGAATGTGATGGGGCCATGAATAGAAACCATTAAGTTAGGAGAGGGGATGGTTTATAAAAGGGAAATGATGAACCTGATTTTGGGCGTTGAGTTGAAACACATCATGCAGAAGTAGAATTTCCGACCCGAGCCTCCCTCAGTGCAATGGGGATTCTAATAGGATTTTAAAAGTAGGGCACTGATTCCTGTTAGCTCCTTGACATTGAGCCTATTCTGATTTGCAGCGACTCTTAGGGTTTCCAAGGCGATAATCGCTTTGGAAGCAGACTGCCACATCTTTCTTTTGAGGAGTAGCTGGGATTGTTTTAAACACACTGTTTTCAACCCAGGGGGATTCTGGCCCCCAAGGAGCATTTGGTGAGGCTCTTGTTGCCACAACTGGAGCAGAGGTGCTATGGATATCAAGGGTCTCTAATCAAGGATGCTGCTTAACTTCTTACAGTGCACAGGGCAGTCAGCTTTCTGAAACAAAGAATTGTCAATCGTGTTGAGGTTGAGAAATCTGGTCTCAATAGAATCCAATTGCACCAAATTTCAGGAAGTTTTAGGCTGAAGTAGTATTTTAGGTTAGACGCTGACCCCTGGTGGTCAAATGTAATATTGATCTGCGTTCTCGAACATCAAAAGAAAGAAAGCGTAAACAGGAAGAACGAGCTGATAACAAGGAGGGCTCAAAGAGA